TTGTCGATGGGATCAGGTATCAAGCATCTAAGACCCAGAACAAAACCATACCCAATGTGAATGAGTGCAGCACAGCACCAATGAAACACACAACTTTCCTCTAGTTCTTTAATGCTTCCTTCCCCCTACGATCGTGACCTCAATTCTACCTTACAAATCAGATTAGACCAGAGCATGCACACTGCTACAGATAAGAGCCTGCAACACAGGGAATCCAGGATAAATAAACCCCACAGAGCCAACAATGAGAATAGAGATACCAGGAGGATAAGGGGAAGGTAGGGGGAGAAAGGAGGAATCGATCACAAGGATCAACATAGAACCCCCTCCCAGGGGGAGGAACAACAGAAAAGTGGATGAAGGGTGACACTGCATGGTGTAAGACATGAAAATATAATAATAATTTATAAATGAGGAAGGGTAGGGGAGGGAGGGGGAAAATGAGCTGGTATCAAGGGCTCAAGTAAAAAGAAAATGTTTGAAAATGATGATGGCAGCATATGTACAACTGTGCTTGACACATGGGTGACTGTATGGATTGTGATAGCTGCAAGAACCTCCAATAGAAGTATTTAATAAAAAACAGATAAAGTGAAATCATAATTTTGAACTCTATAATATGAACTACATATCATAACTTTATACTGTATTTCCACACTAAAAATTGAGGATTTGCACTTAAAATACTCAATTTTATATTTGTATCCCCTCTTCCACTTGAAATCTTTGTGTAGCATTAGCATGATCACTTCTAAGATATACAAGGGACATTCAAAAAGAAAAATTCCATTATCTTTCAATTCAACTTTTCCACAAGCTTTTGAAACACCTGTGTAGATGCATTTTTCTAAACTAATTAACAAACAATAAAACTATGGAACAAAGTGTATAATTGTCTTGTTTTTGTTTGTTTTTTGTCCTTAGCCCATATCTCCTGGTGGAAATTCTGTTTTAAATGAATTTAAAATAATTACCTTTTGTGTTTACCTCATCAATAAAAAATTATATATATATATAATTAGTTTTCTCTCTGTTTACTTTCAATGATAAATGGTTGCTTTATTTTCTCTTTCGATCTCATTTTTTGATTGTTGCCAATATTCACATGGCTTTAACATCAAAGCTGTAAATGAGATCCACTGAGGGACACTGAACTCTCATGGCTGCTTCTTCCTCCTCCTCAAAGTCAACAGTTTCATTAGTTGTTGCTTCATTGCCCCATTTGTTCCTTTTGGACTTGCGCACCTTTCCTGCACACATTCATTCGGCACATTGCTTTTTGCACAATGTAATCTGGAAATCACTCCATGGTTAACACTAAAGAGCTTTCTCATTCCTTTTGTATTCTAATGTTGGAAGGCTACTTGGATTGTTTCCAGTTTTTGCCTTTAAAAATAATGTCACAATAAATAGCCTGTATATATGTAATTTCATATTATGTATGGTCTTAGTGAAAATCCATATAGCTCTGTTAACTATTAACTACTAAATGTATCTCTCTCTCTACCAACAAAGCAAGAAATTGTTTGCCCAAGGCTTAGTTTGAGGAACACATTATCAAACTCCTGGTTTTCAAATATAGGGAGTTTCTAAGATGTCTGTGACAGACAATATCATTCATTAGTGCCAAGTCATGTATAATATGCTCAGGATAGATTTTCAAACTATACTTCCATAAAAAATCTATTTTTAATGAAATATCATAGGGAATTTGGTCTGAAATCTTTCCTTTAACCACCAAGAAGCAAAGCCTTTATCTTTTTGACTTAATACTTTGATGAAATGATTCTCTCAAGGGTTCAATTAAGGGCACCCTAGAACATCAACCTCCATTCAGCCTCCTATCATCACTAACATGCAGTTTCAATTCCTTTTAAAGGTCTTCTGCTACTTCAAAAGAATGCATTTTCTGTTACTCAGGCTCCTAGAACCCAGCGATTCTTGTCTCTACATAGCTTCTTTAAGCAATTACCAAGCTTCTTGCAGACTTTTCATCTAGAGAATTATGGCACATGCTCACTGTTTCGCCCCTAGTCTGGGTTCTCATTATCTAATTCCAGGACTACTGAAAAAGCCCCAGAAGCAGCTTCCCTGTGTCCTCCTCGTCTCCTTTCTCTGCTACACTTATTCCATTTTATCTCCTGCTGGCTTCAAGTCCCAGCACCATCTTGCTCCCTAAGGCCCACGTGCTGCTGATGAACACAGCCCATAACTATGTTTTCTGACCTCTGGCCACAGATAATGTCACTGATCCATCAATCAGGCACTTCCATTTTAAATTACTCTATCAGATTTCATTGGGAAAGAAATAACTGCTAGAAACAAAACAAAACAAGAGTAGAAAAGCCACTGGCCTGATCTGACTTTCTTGTGTCAATCCAGTTTTTTCTTGCTTCTCTTCATACAACAGGTTATGTACTTGGTAATATTTATTGACAAACTAGTATTTGCCATGCATTATAAATAAATTATAAATAAATAAAAAAACTTGGTCGCCCTCTTCATATACTCTACAGACCAGAACAAAATAGATTAGCATTTACAATGAAGATGTACTAAATTTTCCCAAGAGGAAAACAGGCCTACATGTAACAGGGGAAGTGAGAACATTCTCCAATCCTCAGGTCCGTAACATATAAAAGAATACATAACCTCCAGTAGAGAGGGCTACAGGGGACAGTCGCATAGTCTCGGGGGTAACACCAGGTTTAAAATACAGCCAAAAATGTGAAACAAATATGAAAAAGATGGAGGATAAAGAGGAGGAGTCTGTGAATCCTGGGGAGTAACCCACAGGGCACAGTGGAAAGGCTTGGGAGAGAGAATGGTGCTAAGTTGAGGTTTGAAAGAAGACACAGAGCTCATATCTTGAGTTGTGAGCAAGAATAGCAGGGGCGTGAGGCATCACAGGCTTAATGGGCTACAGGCTACAAGCAAATTAGTTGAGGTAAGATGGGTGGTGGTAGTATTTGGACAACAGCTCCAGCTTATTGTAATTCATCTGTCACAAAAAAATAGATGTTGGTTCTGATGAGATTTCTGGTGATTAGGAAGACATCCGTCTCTCTGGAAGCAGCCATTTATGGCTTCAATTGACTTCTTGAATTCTAGGGAAAATGTCCAGTCTTGTGGCTTCAGGAATGTACATTCCAGGTCAGAGACCCGGTATTGGTAGATACTAGAAGGTCCCAAGGGTGAACAGTGGGGCATTTTTCAAGTATCGCATTCAGAAGACAGAATGGTATCATATGTTTAATGTTTATCATATATTTAATATAAGGTTTAAAAAATGTTTATCATATGTTTAATAAATTCTTCTGGATGGACAGATGTATGCCCTTCATGGGACTTCCTTACAGTTAGAAAAGTATCTCCATGGCCATCTAGCTCAGAAGCAAAAAAGCCCACATGGAAGAAGCACACCAGCCTGTGTGATCATGAGGTGCCAAAGGGATCAGTTATCAGGAATCAAAGAAAAAAAAACCATGTCATTGTGTGCTCACCTCCCCGATAAGATCGCTGAAGACCAGTGGGAGCATAAGCAAATGCGGTGAAGAAAACTGATGGTGCCTGGCTATCAAAAGATAGAGCATCTGGGGTCTTAAAGGCTTGAAGGTAAACAAGCGGCCATCTAGCTCAGAAGCAACAAAGCCCAAATGGAAGAAGCACACCAGCCTGTGTGATCACGAAGTGTTGAAGGGATCAGGTATCACGCATCAAAGAACAAAAAATCATATCATTGTGAATGAGGGGGAGTGCAGATTGGGGACTGAAAGCCCATCTGTCGGCAAATGGACATCCCCTTACGGAAGGGTCTCTTACGGAAGGGTCTCGGGGAGGAGACGAGCCAGTTAGGGTGCAGTGTAGCAACAATGAAACATACAACTTTCCTCTAGTTCCTAAATGCTTTCTCCCCACCCATCCCCCACTCCCCCACTATCAAGATCCAAATTCTACTCTATGAATCTGGCTAGACCAGAGGATGTACACTGGTACAGATAGGAACTGGAAACATAGGGAATTCAGGACAGATGATCCCTCAGGACCAGTGCTGAGAGTGGTGATACCAGGAGGGTGAAGGGAGGGTGGGTGGAAAGGGGGAACTGATTACAAGGATCTACATTTAACCTCCTCCCTGGGTGATGGACAACAAAATAGTAGGTGAAGGGAGATGTTGGAAAATGTAAGATATGACAAAATAATAATAATTTCTAAATTATCAAGGGTTCATTAGGGAGGGGGCAGCGGGGAGGGAGGGGAACAAATGAGGAACTGATGCCAGGGGCTTACATGGCGAGCAAATGTTTTGAGAATGATCAGGGCAACCAATGTACAAATGTGCTTTACACAATTGATGTATGCATGGATTGTGATAACAGTTGTATGAGCCCCCAATACAATGATTAATAAATAAATAAGAAAGAAAAGTATCTCCAAACTCTCTTTAATTATCAACAAATTTACAAGATGCCAAAGTGAATCACTTTAACTTCCAAGTCTTCCATTTCACTCTCTGTATGTGCCCATGGGCAAATTAATTAGCCTATGCTTCAGTTTCTTTACCTATACATGTAACATTATGGTGGTGATAACACCCACCTCATAGCCCAGGTGTCACTGTCGGCTAAGTGTTGGACTGCTAAGCACATGCCAGGCGGTTCAAAAGCACCAGTCACTCACAGGGGAAAGGTGAGGCTCGCAGCTCCCATAAAGGTGGAGAGCCTCAGAAAGGACTGTATCAGTTGGAACTGACTCAGGGGCAGGGGGTTTGGTTCTGTTTCCACAGGCCTATAGTGAGGAGCAACTGAATCAACGCACAAAGTAACTAACACCAGGCCCCCTCGCATCCTGTAAACACCTGCCCCAGAGGTTCTTTTCACAGAACATAGAACAAGGCGCGTTACAGAGCCCTGCACCACTACATCGTTCAAGGGACGTGTGAAGCACTTCTTCAGATGCCACGCAGCACCTCATAGTTAGTGTATGAAGCTCCTTCTTACCTGGATCAAAATTATCACCAAATATCCTCTTGGCAGGAATCTTCAAGGCCATAGTAGGAAACTGTTTCTTTAACTAAAATTAAGCAAACAAACCAAATATATGTAAACTTAACTTTATAAACTTCTGAGACATATGCACCCACACGGAATACAATCTGATTTTAAAGACATCTATCCTAAGACAAACTTTTAAGTATACCATCATCCAACATACCGTGTCATAGTTAACAGGAAAAAAGCAGAACAAACTGATTAATCATCCTTTGTGTACCAGTAAAACAGTATCTACGTGACCTTGGGGGAGTTTTTTAACATCTCTGTGCCTCAATTTTTTAAAATTCTAGTGCTTATCTTACAGATTTCTTATGAGGCTTAAAGAAGGTTATATATATAAAGTGCTTGGACCAGAAGCTGGTGCATGAATGTCAACTATAAGTCAAGCCATCATGTGACAGGGTCCTCCTACCCCCACCACCCACTCACTTTACTGCCATACAGTAGATTCTGACTCATTGCAGCAGTTCTCAACCTGTGGGTCACAACCCCTTTGAGGGTCAAACGACCCTTTCACAGGGGTCACCTGATTCATAACAGTAGCAAAATTACAGTTATGAAGTAGCAATGAAAATAATTTTATAGTTGGGGTCACCACATTAGGAAGGTTGAGAACCACTGCTCTAAAGGGTTTCTCAAGCAGCCTCATCTTTCTCTCTCAGAGCAGCTGATGGGCTTGAACCACTGACCTAATGGTTAGCAGTCCAACACTTATATGACAGTGCCACCAGGAGAAAATGCCATCAGTGTTCTCACTGCATGAACAGATTGACAATCATTTTCTAAAACAGTTAATGAATTTGTTTTTAAAACTTTATGTTCTAACAATGTAAAATATTTCTAGAACTACATTCTATTTGCTAAATGTAAAATTTACTTATCATCATAGATGCTACACTTTACCCTGAAGAAACTAAATTCTGAACAGTAAATTCAAAGAAATTGGGTTATATTCTTATTATCTTTGATGTGAAAACATTGTGGGCACACAACCGAATTATAAATCTAACTACTAACTGACAGCAAATACCAAGGCTAGAAGATGAATGAATCTACAGACAAATCACTACTTTTCTCAACCACAACAGAAAATTATAGAATAAAAGGGAGACAAAGGGGGAAATCTATCAATTAAGAGAGAAAGAGACTCTCCCATTCCATTCCAGTCCCTCCCTCCTTCCCTTCACGTTCTCCACAGCCGTTTGACTAGAGCTCTTTTGAGACCTAGAACAATGAATGGATGGAAGTTGTGAGACATACTTCCAACTGCCAGATGCCATCAGGAGGGGTGAATGCCATGTTTGGAGCGAATGAGGTGTGGGATGCTCCTGCGGGTGCCTTACTTTGACACGAGCAGTGGATAAGGAGTGGGGTGGCAGCTGTGGCAATGAAGGTTGCTTCACAAACAGCGGTCAGCTGTGTGCCCTATAAGATAGAGTAAGGCCTAAAGAGCTGATGCTATGCAAACTAAGCAAGACAAAGTCTTGTCATCCTCACTTTTAAGAGGCACTATGGCTGTATCTCTTCCCAGGCAGACTTATTCATTCGTCTGGCAGCTCATGATATATTCAGTACACTCACCAATACTACAATGCAAATGAATCAACCAGTCTTCAGTTTTCCTTTTTCATTGTCTAGTTTTTGCTTGCATTTGGGGCAATTGAGAGAAACCGTTTGGGTCAAGCACGGCTCAGTCCTCAAAGTGGCCTCTTTGTTTTCAAGACTGTACGGAGATCTCTTGCAGCATATCTGACCAAGGCAATACACACAGTCCCCAACTGGTGACACAGTCAAGCTGTCACACCACACCCATGAGCATATAACTGGAGAAGCACGAACTGTAAGTACAGAAACTCTAAGTTCCCATGCAATCCAAACACAAAGATTAGATTTATAAAGACACTGGTAATAAGACACTGAAAACGAAGAGGACAAAACACCCAACTCTTGGTATTTAACACAAATCACAACCAACTTAGGATGGCGTTGTCAGCACAGAATACCAACGCTGTACATTAGGGGCCACCTGTAGGTAGCTTGATTTCTTGACTGCGCTTCCATGGACATCTGATTGTTGATTCAGTAAAATGAAATCCTTGACAATGTCAGTACTTGTCTCCATTTACCTTAAGCAGTGCATTGATCCCATTGTGATTTTCTTTTCTTGTGTTGACATATAATCCATACCGAAGGGTGCAGTCTGTGATCTACAGGTCCCTGGGATTCTCCCTGTACAGTTCTGATTCATCATGTTGCAAATATAGCTCAGATCCCAAGTGATTCCAATGATCAGCCAAGTTTGGGAAACTAGGTTCTACATTCTCTTCTGAATCTGGCTTAAATTTCTAGCAGGTCCCTGTCTATGAACAGCTACAACCATTTAAAAACTATCTTCAGCAAGATTTTGCTTGTATGTGATATTAATTATGCTATGTAAGAACTGCCACGTTCCAGTCAATCACCTTTGTTTGGAATGGTCACAAATAGTCTTATCTTCCTCTACTGGGCCAACAGACTTAAAGCAGTATTCTCTGCAAACATATGTACCATTGTAAGCTCCAACCTGCTATGTTACAATTACCTGATGGGTTCACTTCCTACTTCAGAAAATATTTACAAATGTCAGCATTAGCTTATCATGGACCTTTAATGCCTCAATCATAAACAGCTACAGACCTCTTGTATCTTACCCATCAAAGAACGGTCAGGAATTTTGAAAGTCTTAATTTATTTCAGTTGTCTAAATTTCTTAAAATCTAGAATATACGACTTATCCTATAAGAGTGAAATTATGGGAACAAGGGTGGGCTTCAGGACACAGATTTTCAGACCTAACATCTTATTTAACCAAAATAAGATGAGTCTTACCCATTATTTACAAGGTCAGTCGAAAGGATTTACTTGTAATCGTCTAAACATTGAAGGGCGCCTGGCGTTGCAGCCATGTTAAGTGCTCAGCTGCTAACTGGCAGGTTGATGGTTTGGACCCACAACTGTTTCATGGGAGAAAGATGGGGGCGTGCTTCACTAACGATTTACAGCTGTGGGGACCTGCAGGGTAATGCTGTCTTCTCCTATGGGTTATATACCCTAAGTTGGAATCAACTTGACAGCAATGGGATTGAGTTGTGGTGGATTTTTTGGGGGTGATGTGGGGGGGGTATTTATCACAACAGTTAAAGACTCAGCTGTTAACTGAAGAGTTAGTAGTTCAAGCCCATCCAGTGGCTCTTTGGGAGAAAGTGCTGGCAATCTGCTTCTGTAAAGATTAAAGTGAAGTAGCCAAGCTCGACCCTGTCACCTTTGAGTCAGAAGGGCTCTCCACACCCAAGAACAACCAGACACAAAAACATCGCGAAGCTGACCACCTAGTCCCCACACCCCAGTGCTTTCCTCGGAGCTGCGCCACATTCCTTGTCCTCCACTTCCTTCATGAATTCCAAAGTTAGGATGCTTTTGAGAAATCTCTTACCCCTTTCTGCTGATTTGATATAGACAGCGATTAATTTAAATCAGGCAAAGAACCAGATGGAGCCCTGGTGGTTTGGCAGTTATGTGTCGGGCTATGATCTGCAAGGTCAGTAGTTCGAAGCCACCAGTCACTCTGAGAGAGAAAGACAGGGCTTTCTACTCCCATAAAGAGTTTATGTCCCAGAACCTCACAGGGGCAGTTCTTCCTGGCCTATAGGGTCACTATGAGTCAGTAAGAGCTTAATGGTAGTTTGTTTTTTTCTTTTACAAAAATGTTAGTGTCGGGTTTTTCTCAGAGGTTTTGTTTTAAATACTCACATGCAAAATAGACTATTACTTACAGTGTTGTAGAGCTTATCAAATTCTGCATATCTCCTGAAGACAAACCACTCACTCCTACCCACTGAAACCAGAACTTTATAAACCTATGGAAATACAAAAAAAAAAAATCACATAATGAAATTTAATTTCAAAAAGAAACAAAACTCACTAGCCATTCAATTACACGAAACCTGTTTTTGTTCTCATGAAGCAAATACTAAGTATTAATGTTCATGTATGATTAACCAAAATTTAGATTTTTCAACTAAACCACTATCAACAGGCAACATTTTACTTTTTCAATGCTGGAAAATACTCCTGGAACATTCAGGGAATGACAGTGAGCCCTCCCACACGCACTATTGAACCAGCTGCCTTCAAGCCTTGTTGGCCACGGGCAGGAACAGAACTGTGCTCCACAGTTTTCAATGGCTTGTTTTTCGGAAATAAATCACTTTCTTCCAAAGTGCTTCTACATGGACTTGAACTGCCAGTCTTTTGGTTAGTGGCCAAGAGCGTAAACAGCTTGTATCACCCAGAAATACCAATGCTATTTAGATCTATTACATTGTAACATTTTGGACATTTTCTTGGTACAGATGGTGGGTGTCCACTGGCAACCTTTCAGTTAGCAGCCAAAAGATTTACCACTGTTACCACCAGAGCTCCCTGTCTGATAGAGTACACACTCAATTAAATGATAGTGTTCCCCTCTACAGTAATCTTTTCAAGAATTATTCTCAGATTCCCCAACACCAGTTGAACATGTCTTTGATATTTTCATACATAATCGCAATCCCATGAAGTAAGAATATTCCAATTCCACTGTACACATGAGGAAAAGTTAACTTGCCCAAGTTCACATACTTAAAAAAAACCCAAAACCTACACATTCATAAAACTAGAACTGAAATCTAAGTCTTCTGTCCCTCCATGCACAAAACCAATATCAAAACCACCAATACTTGTAGAAATTCACTTTCATAATTCACTTTACACGTATTCCCACAAACTCCAATCTTGAAAAGAAAGTATAGTATGCAATGCCAAAGATGTTATAAATGACATAAGAAATTACTGAACGGAAAAATTACAAACACCTATATTTACATACACAGAAATAAAGTAGGTATTTGAGGAATAAAGCTGGTGTGTGGTTGGAGGTATCAGATTAGAGAAAGAAATCTGAGTGGCACTGGGATTTACAACACGATTGCCCAGAGCTCATAGTGAAGAGAGGAGGAAACCATGTGTATTTTTGAGGACAGGCACAGAAACGGGTATAAACTCAGGCGACCAGACTTTCGCTTTTGGCGGGGCGGTCCTGATTTTTGGCGTTTTAAAAAAGTCCCGATTTTTGGAAAGAATGCATGACAAGCTACGGAACGGTCTATTTGGTCCATATAAACCAAATTCTAAATCAAGAACCCTCTCCCCTGCCCCCCGGTCAATGGTGTCCCACTTTAAATCTGGTCATCTTAGTATAAACCATCCTTTCCTATAAAAGATAGGCAAGCAAGACTCACTCCTAAATTCAAAGTTAAATAACACTATTCCTCCCTTATGCTATGTGTGACTTTATTGTATGATCCCACAGTAAGTTTAAGATAGGATCACATTAGCAAGCCCACAGCTACACTGGGGAGCCCTAGAATGTAAACCCATACCCCTCTGCAAGGAAGGGGTTAAGGTTTCACCCAAAGGGTAAGGCATGGTCAAGAATCTCTGTCAGAGAACTGATGGAGATTATACAACTCATTTTAAAAGTGATTTGACCCCCGGGAAGGTGGGGGAGAAGTGCTCTAAAGTTGAGTGTGGTAATGATTGCACCACTCTTCTTGATGGGACAGAACTATAGAATTGTGTGATACGTGGCTATGTGCCAATAAAAGTGTTAAGAAAATAAAAAAAGAGAGAGTCTCGGTCACTTAGACCAGAGATGTACCACTTAGCTTAGAGACAAAGAGCTGGGGCACTCTCTGTGTGCTAAGGAGAAGGCCTTAAGTTACCTTCAGAGGAAGTTCATGGATGGAAGATGTGAGATTAAGTTGTAAGACTGCAGCCTCCTCGTGGAGAGAGCACAAGAGAGTGCAAAGAA